GTAGTAGAGTACTGATATTTTAAGTTTTGAGACAATATATTTGCAATTTAAATGAAAGAATTGTGACAAATATATATATATTTAGTGGGATATACAACATTTGAAAAATAAAGAGGAGACATTTTTATCTGTGATAAACTAATATCGGCCTTTATTGGTCAAACTCTACTTTTATTGTATTTTTAGAGGAACATGACTTATTTTAAGGAATCAATATATATTCTTTTGTTTATTTGTGGTTTAGTTGATAATGTTTATTAGTATTGTTTTTTAGTTATTATTTAAGTTTGCACTGTGTAAGCAGAGATATTACTTATTTAGATTCAGGCTTAATTTTGAACTCATAAGTTACTATGAATGTGAAAGCTGATGAGTTTTGTAAATGTACTGATTATGTTCTGATTAACTACTTTTCACTATTATTCTAAAAATAATAAAGAATTAAATCAACATGGTTTCAGATTAAAATGTGTCCAGAGATTTTGAGCATGAGTTAAAACCCTGTGATCTAGGTGCCCGGTTAGCTCACTCGGAAGAGCTGGCAACCCATGTTCGGAGTTGCTGCAGCGGCCCAGAGTTCGAATCCGAATTTAATCGAATCCCTTTGCTGTGTGTCATCCCCTCTCTCTCTGCCCCTCTTTCTGGTCTATCTTTGGCTGTCACTATCAATAAAGGCAATAAAAGGCCAAAAAAATAACTTAGATGAAAACCCTGTGATCTGAAGAACTATGATGGAGTATCAGGGACTCTGGAACAAATCTGATAGTCTGACCCCTGCAGGGCTCGTGTGCCCCACAAAATTTTATGCTTTCAGTGTGATGAAAGCTGTATTTAGTATTCTCTTCGGAATCTTAGTTGAAAAAATGCAATTTTGTTGTTTGTCCTTTTGTGTTATTTGAACATCGTTTGGATGATGTGTTCCCAATCTCTGTACTTCCAATTTTTTTCTCCAAAGGCATCGAAGAAAATGAATGAGAAAGTAAATAATCCACCTCATTCGTTTTAATGCTAACGCCTGCCATTGTCACTGTTACTCACTTCCCTTTCCCCACATTAGGGCCTCGCTGTAATATAGGCTACATCCGCTGTCATTGGTCAAAAGTCACTGGCCTTTTGGTTGAATGAATTCATTTTTTATATGAATTCAGTCCAAATGCCCAGCAGATCATGGGTTTTAAACAATATGTTTAATGGTTTTTAATAATAGTTTCTCATCTATACTATAAAAGAAAGGCAGGGTTTAGCCCTGATAGCCCTTATGTTACAGCCATTTCTGTTTATAACAAAAACACACTTGGTGTGTGCACTATGTGTGTTTCTCATTCTACAGATGTGGGCATCAAATTAAATGAGTCACATGACACTACAGCATTTTGTGTTCATTGTGTTCAACATTCACCAACAGACCAAAACTTCTGTGAAAAGAACCACAGGAAGAAGGAAATACACTGGTAACACTGGGATTACTGGAATTTTACTTCAACCTGCTGCAGATTATGAACAGAAGATTTAGAGAAGCTACGACTGAAAGTGAAAGCAAAGTTAAGGGAACTTTCTTGGTTGACTGACTTCTGCTTTCATTCTTTTGCCTGCTGTGTTTTCAGCTTCACTCAGAGAATATAAATGTCTTCTGAATCAGAAAAGGCTCTCTCCTGTCCGGTTTGCCAGGACATCTTTAAAGTGCCTGGAAAGCTGTAAATGGCAAATAATCTATGTATGAATGGATAGAGGGGTACTGTTAATGTTTTTATTGTCTTCTTTCATTTTGGCATTAATATTTGTTGCTATTTCCCACTTTTATACTAAACACTAACTGTAAACGAAGTGTCCTACATATTAATTTTCATAGTTTATGGTTTCTGTTGTTAGCATACAAAACAGCACATATTAGTCAAACAGGACTTTGGTCAGATAAAATTCGGAAACAGCTAAATGTTTTACAAAGACTTTATACTTATTTTATATTCTCTGAGGTGTTCTTGGAGCCAAACTGATCCACCACCATTTATAATTAGTTCTCATTTTCTCCAGCTGTAAGAAGCTCCACCACCTCCTTTATGTTTTTCATTGTGAGTCAATGGTGAACATCAACGGTGAACATCAACAGCACACAAACATCAAGCATGTTTTAAGTCTGTATGTTGAAATCTTTGAGTATACTGCATTCATGATTCTGAGAAGAAGTTAAATGTGTGTCAACTGACTAATAATAGGGACAAAAAAAGTAAGAAGATGGTGATACTCATGGAAAAAGCATGATAATTTTGTTCTTCCTTACAATAAAGATTAGGAAATATACACACGTACACGAATATTCTTTATGTAATAAACTTCATGGTGCATTTACCTTTGCTCTCCTCTGTGCTCTTTCTCTCACTGTGAATGTACATTAGTTGTCAGATCCTGTGTTGTTATGTTGAACTTCCTTAATTACAGTCAGGGCACAAAATGAGCACCAACTACTCGCTAGATGGTAAAATGTCTTTCGCACGTACTTTATATATTCTGATGATGAACAATGAAAGTGACAGATGATCACAGCTATGTATGCTATCCTCCAAAAATGGCAGTGCTGCCCCAGAATGCTCTGCAATTAAATTTCCCCATTGTAATCGCTTTGGCAATCCTCTCACATGACTAAATTCTTGCAAAATGGGGCGGCAGTAGCTCAGTGTGGAGGGACTTGGCTTGGGAATCGGAGGATCGCCGGTTCAAGCTCCACAGACTACAGAATATGGACTGTGGACTGGTAGCT